AGACTTCATGAATTCAAGCGCCCTACGAGGCTGGCATCCCGCTCTCACCCCTTCACTGTCGAAACTCCTAAATGTAGCCGTCTCTTCTACTCCAATAGCTTCATGTCTCGCACATCTCGCCTGTGGAACTCCCTTTCCTATTCCAGTTTCCCTGAGAGCTATAATCTACAACTATTCAAATGTACTGTCAATCGACATATCCAGTTGCCTTGATCTATCCACTATCCTTCTCCTCATCCTTTTCTCTATCGCTCCTATCTGATCTTGCTCCAAACCTTCTGTAACCCCTTGCGTCCTAGTGGCTTCCCGCCTTGCTAGGGGTGAAATGCTTAAAATATATATATATATATATATATATATATATATATATATATATATATATATATATATGAGACTTAACTGCTTAACTCCAAATGGCTGCTGACAAAAAGGACTCAAAAGCGTTTATGATGGTTTAAAAGCAGCGTATGGTCTCCAAAAGCATGGTATCTCTCCAATGACGGGGATATTCTCCTTACTGGTAAAAAAAAAGCCATACTTCAGCACTAGAGGGATCATGTTGAAACAGTGCTCAACAGCACCTCAATCACAGATGATGAAGCTCTGTCCGCTGTAACAAAATAGCCTGAAATTCCTGAGTTATCCCTGGAAACCACTTTTCTGGAAGTGCAAGCTTCTATCATGCAGATATCGTCAAGAAAATCTCCTGGTGAGGAGGCTATCCCTGCTGAAATCTACAAACATGGAGGGCATACACTTTGTAAGCTGCTGCACGATCTGTTCATTAAAATTTGAAGATATGGTCTTGTTCCTCAGAACTTCAAAAATACCTCAGTGCAACACCTCTACAAGAAAAAAAAAGAGTCTTAAAACAGTATGCAATAACCATAGGGATATCTCACTTTTGTCTATCAGCGGGAAAATAATTTTGGCGGAGCTCAATCTTCAACAGAATTATAAAACACACTGTCGTCGCCATCTAACCTGTATATATATATATATATATATATATATATATATATATATATATATATATATATATGTGTGTGTGTGTGTGTGTGTGTGTGTGTGTGTGTGTGTGTGTGTGTGCGTGTGAAAAATTTCTTAGAGCTAACCTGTAGAAAAAGACAATAATTATAAATGTAAAAGACAATAGGAAAACTGTAATATTAGCCAACGTGTTTCGCTTTTTAAGGCAAAAGCGAAATGAATTTATTAAAACAAAGTAACTAATAATAACTGTATCAAGAAATCAAAAGAAAATGGTTGAATCCATAAACACAACAATAAAAACAATATTTACACACGTTACAGTAGTTGACTACATTTCAATTGAAATTACGAATACAATAGCGTTTTCTAAATTCTTCCAGGTGCTAAGGACATTTTGTTTTGTTGTTAATAGTTACTTTGTTTTTAATAAATTCATTTCGTTTTTGCCCTGAAAAGTCCACATTGGACGAAACGTGTCGGCTAATATTACAGTTTTTCTATTGTCTTTTATATATAGGCACGGTGGAGTAATGGATAGCGGCTTGGATTGAGGAATCGCAGAGCCGAGTTCGAATTCCAGTCGAATCCATTACATTCACGTGCTAATACATGCATTGGGAAATGTATGAATTCAATTCTTCTCCCACCAGCTATGTGTAAATAGCAGGACAGACTGGGTTCTATAGCCTTGGCAACTGGTCTACCGCAGAAAGAAATGGCAACCTACTGCGGAAAAAATATCCTTCATCTCCCTCCAGCTATGGGTAAAATAGCAGGACAGACTGGGTTCTATAGCCTTGCATGGCAACTGGTCTAGGAGAAGGACAACTCTGAATTCAGAACACGCGGAGGGTCGTTTGGGAACCTTGTGGCAACTCGGTGCACCGGGTCTCTGTATTCGTCCCTTCAAAAAGTGTGGATGGTCCTGCACGAGGCCTTCACCACTATAATCAAATCTCATGTGTCGTTGTCGGGCTGTCGGTTTCCTGGAAACTGATCTGCTTGACCCTCATACGTCGAATCTCGACGGAAGAGTCGATTATATATATATATATATATATATATATATATATCTTAGTGAATATACATAAGAGCCATCTTCGATAACAGGACTCTGAGTTTCATGCAGTTGTTAAAATCTTTGTGGTGGGGATTCAAAATGTTGAATCATCACAACGAAAACGCGGAATAACGGCCAGATTGCATCTGCACCTAAAGATTGCATCGAGTACACGAAACTCCGAGTTGTGCTATCAACGTTAAATGGTAGGTATATTCACTACTATATACTTATAAATCTATTTCATACCAGTATTTATAACACCTGTGGAAGAAATATATTTATACGGTACGTGCAATTCTACGTACGTGTATCTATATTTTTATCTCCCACCCTCTCTCTCTCTCTCACATAGACACATACGGGTGCGCACACGCATGCGCGGCTGTAGAAAATTGATTAAGAAATTTCCAAAATTTTATTTCAAATAATTTTTATTTTCACAAGTACTTACAACCGCAGTTAAGACCATCTTGAGGGAGATTAAATGTCTGTGGAGGCGTATCGCAGTAGCTTCGTAAATTCAAAATTTAAAAAAAAAGAAAATTTTGGTATGTTTCTTTGTCAATTTTCTACTATCAGCAAGAAATTAATACGTGTATTTGAAGGGACTGAAACTAAAACAAATAGACATAATATGCGTAAATTATTTAACGAAATCTGCTTAAATATATATATATATATATATATATATATATATATATATATATGGATAAAAAAACACGTGGAATAACTATTCTTAGTCAAAGCGTATCCTTTTGTGAGGGATTTTATCAAGATATTTGTCTTGATAACATCAGAGGCGAAAATGGCGTCTAAGAATAGTTTTTCCTCTTCTGTTTTTTTTTTTCATTTTGTTCCTTCACAAATACAGTGAATATAATATATATATATATATATATATATATATATATATATATATGAAAAATATAGTTTTAAGCTTATATATATATATATATATATATATATATATATATATATATATATATCCTATATTTATGGGATAAAGTGCTGAATATATAGGGCGTATGGAAATATAAAAGTGAACATTGAAGTCAATACTCAGAAGCAACAGATATTACAAACGCAATCATCAGGCCTGATGACTGCGTTTGGCATGAAACCGTCTGTCCCTTGTGAGTGTTAACTTCAATGTTTTTTTTAGATTTATATATATATATATATATATATATATATATGTATGTATGTATGTCTGTATATATTTATATGTATATATGTAAATATATACATACATATAAATATATATGTATATATATTTATATATATTTAAATTATATATATATATATATATATATATATATATATATATATATATATATATATATATAAGATAAAAAAAGGAAAATTGATCTTCGCCTACGTATTTCATACTTTGATGGACCTTGTCAAGGCAAATGTAAGGATTTTATTTTTCAACAAGTATTTATAAACCAAAATAAAAAATATCGTTAGCTTTGCAATTTATTTTAATTAAACAACCGACATAAATATTCATTAGGCTAACTAAAAAGTCTAGTTAAATTATGGGAGATGCAAAGTCAGGTAATTTTATGTGAGTAATTTTTTAATGTGATTAATATTTTAATTAAATAAAGTAATCTGTAATTACAAGCAAAAAAAAATAAGAAAAGAAATAGAAATGTAAAAAAAGAAAAAAGAAAAAGTTTAACGATAATCAAAACAAGAATAAGAAAGAAAGTAAAAAGCAAGTGAAGTAAAAGAAAAAAGAAAGAAAAAAATGAGAAAGCAATAAAAATAAAAGAAAGGAAGAAAGAAAGAAAGAAAGACAAAATGAAAATATGGAAAGCATGCTATAATGAAAAGATAGTAAAAAGGAAAGAAAGAAAGAATGAATGAAAGAAAGAAAGAAATAGAGGAACGAAAAGAAGGAAAGAAAGAATGAAGCAACAAACGTAAAAGAAAGAGAAAGAAAATGGAAGAGAAAGTAAAGAAATTAAAAGGGAAGTAAAAAGAAAGAGAAGAAAATGAAGAAAACAACGAAAGTAACAAGAAAAAGAAGAAAAAAAATCACTAGAAAGAAAAAGAAAGCAAAGAAAAGTAAAAAGAAAGAAAGACTATACAGAAAAGACAGAAAGAAAAAAAGTGAAAGTAAATGAAATGAACTATAAAGACAAAGAAAGGAACAATACGAGAAAGAAGAAAAAAAAGCAATGTGACAAGGAAGAAAGAAAGAAAGAAAGAAAGAAAGAAAGAAGGAAAGAAAGAAGGAAAGAAAGAAAGACAAAATGAAAATATGGAAAACATGCTATAATGAAAAGATAGTAAAAAGAAAAGAAAGAATGAACGAAAGAAAGAAAGGGAGGAACGAAAAGAAGGAATGTAGCAACAAATGTAAAAGGAAGATTAAGAAAATGGAAGAGAAAGTAAAGAAATTAAAAGGGAAGTAAAAAGAAAGAAAAGAAAATGAAGAAAACAACGAAAGTAACAAGAAAAAGAAAGCAAAGAAAAGCAAAAAGCAAAAAAGACTATACCGAAAAGACAGAAAGAAAAAAAAGTGACAGAAAGTAAATGAACTATAGAGAAAAAGAAAGGAACAATACGAGAAAGAAGAAAAAGAAGCAATGTGACAAGAAAGAAAGAAAGAAAGAAAGAAAGAAAGAAAGAAAGAAAGAAGCGAAAAGAAGCGAAAGTTAAAAAGACAAAAGAAAGAACTGTGTCATGCTTGTATTCTGACGAGTTTCTCACATGAAGTGACGTCAAAGCCTCATGGATCCAACGCCTCGTACCCACCAACGACCCTCCGTGTTCCAGCCACACGTACACAACGTTCAACGGAAGTTGTAAAAAGAAAAGAGACGCAAGTCTTGTTTGCGTTCTCCTTAAAGTAGAACAACCAACAGCCCACTGATAGGCGTATGACTTTCGTCAGAGAAGAAATAAAGAAACTTAACGCTAAAGCAAACAGATGCATTTACTCTTAACAGCCGGCCCGGCGGCTGCACGCGCACAAGCGTTTTTTTTTTCTTTCGAATCGGACCGTCATACCAAGAGAAGTGCGCAAGTACCTGATGGGATTTTTTTTTTCAATCCTATATCCTTTCAAGTATATTTACCCGGACTCCCCACCAAGGCTGGATGTGACACAAGGTCGTTTTATCGTGGAGAGCGCGATATACATCCATATGCATATGATCCAAGGAGGAAAAAATTGATTTTTGCTCAATTCCAGCGACCACTGTCACGATGGCACCGTTATTACACCGATCCAACCTTTTTAGTGCAAAGCTGGAGGTTCTGCCGCAGACTTGGGAACCCCGGGCTGAGCAACATCTCGCATCTAAAGTGTGGAGAATCATAGCCCCCCCCCTTACAACATAGGGACGTTAACCACGCCTCAGTAAACCCTCATTGGCAGTCGCTAACGTCTGTATCAGATATCCATTCAAGACGTCACAGATCTCATTATTATTATTATTATTGTAGTTCGTTTGATTTTGGGTGTATACTCATTTCCTAAGGTTAGAAATGGCGTCATGACATTTTCGACTGAGCACTTTTTGAGGAAAAAATATTATTATTATTTTCTTTGATTTCTGGCGTTTACACATTTCTTTCCGGGTCCTGCCCAGGGACCTAAGGTTAGAAATGGTGTCATGACATTTTCCACTGACAAAAAAAAAAAAATAAATAAAATAAAATAAAATAAATTTAATTACATAGATAAAGCCCTTCGTAAGGTGTGGGCTGTACTTGTCAGAACAATTTTTTGTATCTCCTTGAGGCATGGACTTCCAGGAATCCCTTCAATTAGTCTACTGCAATCTTTTCCAACCAGTCCTAGGGCTCCAACTACAACAGGGATTATTGATGTTCCCATATGCCACATTTTCGAGATTTCTATTTCAAGGTCCTTTTTACTTTGACAACTTTTGAATATCTTCAAAGATACATTGCAGTCAGCAGGGACTGCCATATCAATAAGGAGGCACCTTTTTTGTTTGTGGTCTTTAATAACAATATCTGGCCGATTGGCCTTGATTGTTCTGTCAGTGTGTATTGTGTAGTCCCATAGAATTGTAACAGGTCCTATCTCCGTAACCGGATCTGGGTGGTGTTCATACCATTTTCTTTCAGTTTTCTTCCCGTAGAAGTTGCAGATTTTCCAGTGCAGATATTGGCCCACTCTGTCATGTCGGGTTTTATATTCAGTGGGTGCTAACACCGTACAACCTGATACAAGATGATCAATCGTTTCTGGATATTTATCACAGAATCTGCATTTTGGGCTGACACAATATTTTAGTATATGTGCTTGATAATTCCTAGTTAGCAAGCATTGGTCCTGCGCAGCAAGGATAAAACCTTCAGTTTCCGCTTTCAACCCTACACTACGTAGCCACTGATGGGTACGGGTTTTGTCTACGTCAGCTTGTTTGGTACGGACAGAGTATTGGCCATGAAGCGGTTTATCTTGCCATCGCTTCTGTAACTGGTCGGTTGCATTCGTCTTTGCTGTCTTTTTTAGGTATTTTGCAGTTTCAGCCGGTGTATTGTGCTGTAGTTGCATCTCTACACCCATTCTTTTTCTGTCTATATCTCTGAGATTAAGTGATATGATTACTTGCATTATTTACATTATTCAGACTGCTATCCCTGTTAGGGTACCAGCTATGGGCAAATAGTGAACTCTCAGTCTAGCCCGCATCCTGGCTATGACGATAAACTACATCCGAGTCCATGGGTATGACGATAAACTGCATCCACATCCATGGGTATGACGATAAACTGCATCCACATATATGGGCATGATGGTAAACTGCATCCGTGTCCATGGGTATGACGGTAAAATGCATCCACATCCATGGGTATGACGATAAACTGCATCTGCGTCCATGGGTCTGACGGTAAACTGCATCCGTGTCCATGGGTGTGATGATAAACTGCATCAGCGTCCATGGGTATGATGATAAACTGCATCCGTGTCCATGGGTATGACGGTAAACTGCATCAGCGTCCATGGGTATGACGGTAAACTGCATTCGCGTGTATGCGTATGACGGTAAACTGCATCAGCGTCCATCGGTATGACGGTAAACTGCATCCGTGTCCATGGGTATGACGGTAAACTGCATCAGCGTCCATGGGTATGACGGTAAACTGCATTCGCGTGTATGGGTATGACGGTAAACTGCATTCGCGTCCATCGGTATGACGGTAAACTGCATCAGCGTCCATCGGTATGACGGCAAACTGCATCCACGTCCCTAGGTATGACGGTAAACTGCATCCACGTCCCTAGGTATGACGGTAAACTGCATTCGCGTCCATGGATATGACGGTAAACTGCATCCACGTCCATGGGTATGACGGTAAACTGCATTCGCGTCCATGGATATGACGGTAAACTGCATCCACGTCCATGGGTATGACGGTAAACTGCATTCGCGTCCATGGGTATGAAGGTAAACTGCATCCACGTCCATGGGTATGTCGGTAAACTGCATCCGCGTCCATGGGTCTGACGCTAAACTGCATCCATGTCCTGGGTATGGCGATAAACTACGTCCAACAGAAAGACTGTTTTTGAAAAATTAAGGTTGTCGGCTACGTTTTTGGAAAAGTAGTATTACCAGCCATACATTTTCGAATGAATAATATTGCCAACAGTGTGTTTTTGAGGAATGATATTACCAGCCATACGTTTTTGAAAAAATGATATTACCAGCCATACGTTTTTGAAAAAATGATATTACCAGCCTTACGTTTTTGAAAAAATGATATTACCAGCCTTACGTTTTTGAAAAAATAATATTACCAGCCTTACGTTTTTGAAAAAATAATATTACCGGCCATACGTTTTTGAAAACATGATATTACCAGCCATAAGTTTTTGGAAAAATAATATTACCGGCCATACGTTTTTGAAAACATGATATTACCAGCCATAAATTTTTGGAAAAATAATATTACCAGCTGTACGTTAAAAAAAAAAAATATTACTAGCTATATGTCTTTTAACAAAATCTTATTCAATGGAATTGTAACTGGGGTCAAAACACTGTGAAAGGATGATGTTTTTTAAAAAAAAAATAAAAAAATAATGTGGCCAGTTATACGTTTTTTTTTGTTTTTTTTTAAATAATAATAATGTTCCAGCTATACGTTTCTGAAAGAAATAATGTTGCCAGCTATACGAAAATCATTTTCGGCATAAAATGACCACTAAGGTTGGAATACCGTTAAACAAAACAAACAAACAAAGAAACAGGCTGCTATCCTCATTTTTATTGGCATATTCACAACGTTTCGGCCGTTGTACGCTCCGGTCTTCTCCAGTGGAAAAAGATGTTGGTTAGATACTAGATCCAAAGGGTTGTGAGTTAATACCAGGCTACAGCAATGGTTAACCAAAACTTGGAGAGTTGAGTTAAAGGGAAATAACTGGGAGAGGCATGTCACGTGGAACTAGAACATTCTAACCCGGTGGACGAATTTAAAGGTTCGTTTCGAAATACCAATCATCTGAAGAAGGCCGAAATGTTGTGAATATGGCAATGAAGATGAGGATAACAGTCCGAATAATGTAAATAATGCAACTTTTTTTCTTAAGAAAGCGGCACGAATTGCTACGGCTTCTTGGGAAGGATAGTGGAGTGGTTTTCTCTTGCGTTTCCCCGATCTTAAACTCAAAATTGTCCATTTTCGAGACTATATGCTATCCCTGGCTAAAGAGTGCAGCCTACGCTCGATTTTAACCTACAGCTGTGGAGACAAGAAGCGATGAAGAAATGCCTTTCGAAAGAGCGTTATTGAGAAATATAAGTGGCTAGATCAGAATTTAGGCGAGGTTCCTCGATTCAACTTTCCACACTGGTAACTGTTAACCGCAAGTCAGATACATACAGAGCACAAAATTAAAACTCTCTCTCTATCTATCTCCTTCTCTCACTCTCTCTCTCTCTCACTCTCTCTTACATTCTATCTCACACTCTCTCTCTATCTCTCGCACTTTCTCTCTCACTCTCTCTCCGATACTCTCTAACTCCATCTCTCTCACTCTCTCTATATCTCTTACTCTCTCCCTCTCCCTCGCTCTCCCTCTCTCTCACTCTTCATTTCTCTCACTCTCCCCCTCTCTCTCCCTCTTTATCTCTCTCGCTCTCCCCCTCTTTCTCACTCTCTCTTTCTTTTTTCATTCTCTCTCCCATTCTCTCTATCTCTTTCTTACTCTCTCAACCTTTCTCTATGTCTCTTACTCTCTCCCTCTCCCTCGCTCTCCCTCTCTCTCTCACTCTTCATCTCTCTCCCCCTCTCTCTCTCCCTCTCCGTCTCTCTATCTCTCTCGCTCTCCTCCTCTTTCTCACTCTCTCTTTCTTTTTCATTCTCTCTCTCATTCTCCTCTATCTCTTTCTTACTCTCTCACCCTTTCTCTATCTCTCTCACTCTGTCTCTTACTCTCTCCCTCTCCCTCGCTCTCCCTCTCTCTCTCACTCTTCATCTCTCTCACTCTCTCACTCTCTCTATCTCTCCCTCTCTCTCTCTCTCCTCTCTCTCTCTTTGAAACTGGTACGTCATTCACATGACAGCATCCTCAACAGACCTATTGTGCTGCGGCTGCAGTGTCATCGCGCAGCTGACCGGTTCCCGCCACATAGCTTTGTTGAAAGCTGGACGGTGATTCATTCATGCGTAGCGTGTGATGGCCAAGCAGATCTGACGGAGACCATCCCTGTACAGGTCAGTGTAACTGAACGATGACCAGTCTTTGAAACATGAAGCAAGGTGAAATGATACCACTACCAGGGCTACCTGACTCATTTGCACCGTTCTCAGTGAAGTTCGAACTGCTTTCGCTGACGCGCTAAAATCTTTACAATGTGCCCCCATACCTGTAGGGTCTAGCTTACAACAGTTCCCATACGATCACCGAAGTTAAGCAACGTCAATCTTGATCAGTACCTAAATAGGTGACCGTATGGGAATACCATGAAGTAGT